GTTAATCAGGTATTGTAATGACGATATAAGATAACTCTAGGTTGTCTCTTGAAAACGAGTACCCAGTATGTTACGGATGGGAGGATGTCATTCTGCCTAAACCTATCTATCTATCTATCTATCTATCTATCTATCTATCTATCTATCTATCTATCTATCTATCTATCTATCTATCTATCTATCTATCTATCTTTTCTCTCTCTCTCTCTCTCTCTCTCTCTCTCTCTCTCTCTCTCTCTCTCTCTCTCTCATAACACAGGGTTTTACTTTCAGATAGAGAAATCTCTTGAATCATTTGAAATATACTGGATGAAAACAGTTACTGGTGCTTAATACTTCTAAATGATAGAATACCTATACAGATAGTCCTCACAACCATTTATTTAGTGACCGTCATTCATTCATTCATTCAAACATCAGTTCTAAATATACTGTTTATTCTTCTTTTCTGCTTATTATATGCTCTTCTTTGTACTGTTATGGGTTATTTTGGATAGGAGTGTTAATATGTGAAAGATCTTGGATTAGAGACAGGCATTCAAATGTGACAATCTTGCCTATTTTACAGATATCATTTACAGTAGATTATAAATTACAAATGTTCTTGATGTCACCAGAGGTTTTGGAAAAATTATTCAGAACAAAGAAAAAGCAAGCACTAGAGCTTTCGCAAAGTTACCAAGAAAGCAAGCTGATTGCATATTAAGAGAAAAGATATTTGTTTGAAGGGTGCGCAGACATAATGTCCAAAGGGTCTTAGAGCGGAAGGAAAGAATGTGGTTAAGAAATTAGCAACACCAAATTGCATCCGCGACATCTTCCTTCCTTCCTTCCTTCCTTCCTTCCTTCCTTCCTTCCTTCCTTCCTTCCTTCCTTCCTTCCTTCCTCTTTTTCTTTCTTTCTTTCCCTTTCTTTCCTTTTAGCAAAATGAGCTCTTTACCGTCAAAATTGCACCATGAACAGTTGAGATGACCTTTTAAACATATTTATGCATTCTGCTGTTAGCTTTTAGTGATTACTTCATAAAATTTGAGTACAGGGAGTCCTCGATTTAACGACAGTTTGTTTAGTGAGCGTTTGAAGTTACAACGGCACCGAGAAAAGTGACTTATGACCGTTTTTCCACACTTACGACCATTGCAGCATCCCCATGGTCAGGTAATGAAAATTCAGACGCTGGGCAATCGACTCATATTTATGACGGTTGCAGTTTCCCAGGGTCCTGTGATCCCCTTTTGCGAGCTTCTGACCATGGGGAAGCCAGATTTCACTTAACAGCCATGTTACTAACTTGACAGCTGCAGTGATTTGTTTAGCAACTGTGGCAAGAAAGGTCGTAAAGTGGGGCAAAACTCACTTAACAACCGTCCTGCTTAGCCACAGAAATTTTGGGCTCAGTTGTGGTAGGTCAAGGACTAGCTGTATTCTAGTGAGAATTACTGCTTAGCTAAAATGGTGCTTAGGGTTTGGCTTACTCGGTCTCTTCAGGATCAGCATCTTGGACAGCAGAACATAATTGCCTGTTAACGACAGCAGAATATAATTAACTGTTAAGTAGCAATCTCCGGCTGAAGACAAATTATTTGCTTGAAGGTTGAACATCACCGGGGAGCCTCTGCCTGACGTCATATATACAATTAATTGCACAAATGGGTTTTTCATAAACCTGAAAATCTTATTTGCCCAGAGGGAATGCTGATTCTAAGCAATACGTAAAAATGCCCTTTAATAAAAGCAAAATAAAGAACCTGGCGTTTCCTATGGTTCCTTTTTGTTTTCCTTGCTTTAAGACTTCAGGCTGCAGAATCTTTCATCCTTGCTTTAACAGTAAGGCATTTGTAGAAAAACCCTCAGATAATGGCTGGAACATAAGATATTTGGGGGGGGGGGTGAGGTTAAGGGACAGTCAGCAGGGTAATTCTCCAAAACCAGAACACAATGAGACCCAGTGTGCTATGATAAAAGAAACCAGAAAAAGAAATTTTGAGTTTGAAAAGAGAGGAGGATTTGGAAGAAAGGAATTCCCCCCCACTGACCCAGTACATCCCAAAGGAGAGAGAGTTGGAAAATAACTCAGATCTTAGATCAGTGATGGCGAAACTTTTAGAGACCGAGTGCCCAAACTGCAACCCAAAACACACTTATGTGTTGTCGGGTGCCGGGTGGGCGTGGCCCATTGGGTGGGCGTGGCCCATTGAGTAGGCGTGGCTTTGGTGGTAACGGCAGACTGGGTAGGACAAAAAAGTTCAATCAATTCCAACTTTGAGAAATCTTTTTTTTCCTTCGAGAAGTTGAAACTGATTGATCAATTGGACCTTTTTTTTTTTTTTTTTTTGTACACGGCAGTGGAGGCCTAAAGTGAAAAGATTTTATAAAACCCAGCTGAAGGCCTAGGACTGGGGCGACGGCGCGCATGCCCACAGAGAGGGCTCTGCGTGCCACCTGTGGCACGCATACCATAGGTTCGCCACCACGGTCTTAGATCATTATTCCATTCATGGGTCCTTCTCTCCCAGTCTCTGATCCAGAGGGGGAGGTTTGCTGCCCACATTGTGTTTCTTCATGCATCCATACACCCAAAGAGTAGAATGGAAACACATATACCTACATACACACACACACACACAATCACGCACAGCCTATTGCTTCATTGCATAGGAGAACATACATGATAGACAGACACTTCCTATGACCACTGCTGGTAAGTGGGAAGAAAAGAATTCCAGAAACCTTACTCTGTAGACCAGTGGTTTTCAACCTGTGGGTCGGGACTCCATTTGGGGTCGAACGACCATTTCACGGGGGTCGCCAAACAAGGCTGTCCGCCATTTTTTCCTCCTTTTCTTTGGCCACGCCTCTGGCACCCGGTGATGTATAAGTGGTTGGGGGTCACCACAACATGGGGAACTGTATTATGGGGTCGCAGCATTAGAAAGGTTGAGAACCACTGCTGTAGACTTTCCCTATCTTGTTTATACTAAAATATGTTTTCATACTGATTTTTTTTTAATCACATGTATGCCTTTTTTGGCAATTCCCCCTTTTTTAACATATTGAGAAGCTCCCCTAAGAATGATTTATTCAAGCGTCAATTCTAAATATACTGTTTATTCTTCTTTTCTGCTGATTATACGTTCTTGTTTGTACTGTTATGGGTTATTTTGGAGGGGATTGTCACCTGTGGGGATTGTCAACCTTTATTCAACTTCCTCCAGAAGGCTGACATGGCCCGTTTCTTGTTGAGCGGAGAGATGAAGCCATGTAAGGCATTCAATGTGAATTTGTGCAGAAAGATGAGGCTAAAATCAACACAGCAAAAGGCCAGCTAATCTTACTCCCTCCTTCCTTCACACTTAATTGGAGATGGCAGTTTCTGTACTAGCTAGCACCGAAGGGCAGAAAGCACGTAATTTCCAGTAGTAACTCGGTTGAGTATCACTGATCTTGTTCAGGTTTAGAATAGGGCAGTGGTGGCGAACCTATGGCACGGGTGCCAGAGGCAGCACTCAGAGCCCTCTCTGTGGACATGCGCACCATCGCCCCAGTCCTAGGCTTTCAGCTGGGTTTTGTAAAACCTTTTCACTTTAGGCCTCCGCCGCCATGTGCAACAAAAAAAAAGTTCAATCAATCAGTCAATTTCAACTTCTCGTGGGAAAAAAAAGATCTTGCAAAGTTGGAATTGATTGATTGAACTTTTTAGTCCCACCCAGTCTGCCGTTACCACTGCAGCCACGCCTACCCAGTGGGCCACACTCAGCCAATGGGCCACGCCCACCCGGCACCTGACGATGCATAAGTGGGTTTTGGGTTGCAATTTTGGGCACTCGGTCTCTAAAAGGTTCGCCATCACTGGACTAGGGCATGAATAGGCTGTAGACCAGATCAGAACCCCAAACAGGTACACTTTGATTTATTTATTTTAATAAAAAGTATTTGAATAATATTTAATATTTTAATATGGCGAGCTATACTATATACCTGGTACAGAATAGAGGTAGTCCTTGACTTACTAATCATTCGTTTAGTGGCCACTCAAAGTTACAACGCCACTGAAAAGAGTGACCTGGGGATGCTGAAGTGACCACTTCAGCATCCCCAGGGTCACATGATCAAAATTCAGATGTCTGGCAACTGACTCGTATCCATGACGGTTGCAATATCCCGGGCTCCTGCCATCCCCTTTTGTGATCTTCTGACAAGCAAAGTCAATGGGGAAGCCAGATTCAGTTAACAACTGTGTCACTAATTTTAACAAGTGCAGTGATTTGCTTAACAAGCGTGGCAAGAACAGTCGTAAAACGGGGCAGAACTCACTGAACAACTGGTTTGCTTGGCAACAGAAATTGTGGGCTCAACTGTGATCGTAAGTTGAGAATTACCTGTAATCCTGTCACATATATGAGCAGGGCTGAGCTTTACTTCGGAAAGAAATGTTTTAGCGTTAATTTTTTATTATTATTATTGTGATGTACCTTTTTTACAATGTGTGCCTTGACCACGCAGGTATAGCAGCTGGTCAAAGAGGTGAGTTTGCTTTCCCCTTCAAAAATAACGTTTTTTGCCAATAAACGTGGATCACGGATGCCTTCTAACCTGATATAAAAAGAATCCCCGTTTTTCTCCATAAAAATAGCATGCAGATGAATCTACAACAGTGTTTCTCAACCTTGACAATTTTAAGGCATGTGGACTTCAACTCCCAGAATTCCACAGCCAGCAATGCTGGCTGTGGATTTCTGGGAGTTGAAGTCCACATGCCTTAAAATTGTCAAGGTTGAGAAACACTGATCTACAATCATGGTCATTGCCAAATTGATCTTCAGTATAATAGAGCATTCCCTCATCGTGTTGTGATTAATATCAATCCTGAAGATTGATATTCTGTTACTCCAATGTTGATGAGAGGGGTATTTTGAGCAGATTGCTGCTGAAAACTGGAATGAATTAATAGAGTTGTCACTGCCTATATCATATTGGTGGATTTCATTTTGTCTTATTAGAGGACATGGAGAATGCAAGTTCCCACGCAGGTATAGCAGCTGGTCAAAGAGGTGAGTTTGCTTGATTTAGCTATAAGCCAGAACAGGAAACGCATTCCTGGGCTTGTTGGGAATGCATTTGAGATATAACACTAAATCTTCCAAAGGTATTCACTGGTTACCTTGGAAAACATGCTCTGATATGGTTTATTGGTACCCAAAATATCTATTGAAAACAACGATGGGTTTCAAGTGATCATATTTTCTGAAATGATGTTGGTTATTGACTTTCATCTTACCTTAAAATAGTTTTGCACTCTCCTGGATTTTATTTATTTTTAACAAAGGAAGGGATGGGTATAGTAAAAGAGCTGTGAATGTATCAATATGGCTACCCATCATGGAGTCGTCATTAGCAGTTTTGATGCCTGTCTACAAATAGTTTTGAAAATAAAACAGCGGGAGGGAAATGTGCTCCAGTACCATAAAAACGATATTATACAGAGTTTATGAACCAGCCTTTTCCAAGGTAATCCTAGGATTTTAAATACAAAATTTTAAATGGATTTCACAAAATGTTCCTATCTGATGAATTGGCTGAGTGAGTAAATTCATAAATTCGAATTATGGATTTGCAAGAAGGATTTATCTGTCTTGTTCAGGCCCCCACTTCGTGCCTTAGTTGGCGAGGCATTGCTGGGAGAAGGTGCCATTAATATTCCAAGATCAATAATCTTAAATAAGAATGTTATCAGGAATGAATCCTAAGAATTGTCAGAGCAGTGTCTGACTTTCTCCATTGGTCCAATTACTTTAGATTTTGCTTTAGATTTTCACAGTGTAATAAGGATTAAGATGAATGTCTTTTCTATTTGCCAAATTACATTGAACACTACTACATCTAACTTAACTTCCTTGGATATTTCATATCACTTATTTTAAATTAGCTTAGCCCAACTCATTCCATATTTACTAAACATATTTACTAAATCCGAATTGATTCAGGATATTTAACATTTATTCAGAAATTCAACAATTTCTCCCACCCGCATATAATCTTTCCTAAGGCTGCCTTAAATCACTTATTCAATATATTTAGTGTATGTATATGAAAAGAAAGTTTCCTCCAGCCCTCTTGGCATCAACCTATAGAAGACCATTAAAATAAAACTGGTTCAGAAGCTGACCTTTAGTGATACAAATTTATGGAAATATTTGGCCAAATTGGAAACACTTCAGAATTGGCCATAGGCTTTGGGGAAATACAAAGCTCTAAATCATTGGTTCTCAACCTTTTTAATGCCGCGACCCCCCAACCGGTCGTAAGTCGAGGACTACCCAACCGGTTGTAAGTCGAGGACTACCCAACCAGTCGTAAGTCGAGGACTACCCAACCAGTCGTAAGTCAAGGACTTTCCCTGCCCGGGAGTGCCGCGCATGCGTGGTGCCGCCCCCTGCGCTGGCCGAGGCGTGGCTGGCAAGGGGCAGCGATGGCGCAGGGCAACCACCAGTTGGGCCACCAGCTGGCCCAGCCCAAGTGAGGTAAGGCATCCTCCGGGCCCCACGTGCTGCAGCAACCCTCCCTGCGCCTGCCGGCCTCCCACCTCCCACCCCTGGCCCTCTTTTACTTACATTTTTAGTAATTGCTCAGCAGGGAGGGGTGGAAACTTCCAGACAGCTCGCCTTCGCTGCAGACAACTTGCAGCACCGTTTGCAGAATGGGACTTTTGGCAGGCTCAGGAGGGCAGAGACAGCCTGGACAATTCCTATTGGCTTTTGAAAGCCAATAGAATTAGACTCTATTCAAGAGAGTCTATTCTATTGGCTTTCAAAAGCCAATAGAATAAAAGGGAGTAGCACAGCTAAGGAAAAGGGAGAAAAAATGGCGGACTGCATTGTTTGGCGACCCCCGTGAAATGGTCGTTCGACCCCAAATGGGGTCGCGACCCACAGGTTGAGAACCGCTGCTCTAAATTATCACAAATAATTTCAAAACCGTTTCATAACGGGCAAAAGTACTCCTGTGAATTTGGCCATACTTAATAGGAGATACACATGCGTGCGCACACATATGCAATTCCCTATAGCATGACCAAATTTTAGGTAAATATAAAGGTTTCCCTGTCCATTCACGTCCGACTCTAGGACGTGGTGCTCGTTTACATTGGCCAAGGAAGCCAGCTTTGTCCGAAGACGCATTCCATGGCCACGTGGCCAGCAGGGCCGTCCACCAAAGTTACCTTCCTACCAAAGTGGTACCTATTCATCTCCTCGCATTTGCATCCTTGTGAACTGCTAAGTGGGCAGGAGCTGGGGACAGGGAGCTCACTTTGTTGCATGGTGCTCGAGTCTCGAACCTGGGCTGTCAGCTTTCTGGCTGACGAGCTCAGCATCTTTAGCCCCTGAGCCATCACACCCTGTGACCTAATCTCATAGATGTATAAATCCTACCAGACAAATAATATGCTATCTTAGCTCCATTCAGATTTCGTTGAAAAACTTGGGGAAAAAAACAACTGTTTGATATACCAAGTTCTAGTCCCGCCTTAGGTGTGAAAGCCAGCTGGGTGACTGTGGGCCAAGCACTCTCTCTCTCAGGCCAACTCGCTCAAGAAAATAGGAGATGTGTTGGGTACATTCACCGCCTTCAGTTATTTGTAAAAATAATAAAGGCGGGATACAAATCAGGGTAACACGCTCATCAGAAGGAACACTTCAATGGGCAAAAGGGGCATCATCCATATTTTTCCTTTTTTTTCCCTTTTTGTTTCTCTGTCTGTGTTTCCAGCCACTTCAGTTGATTACAGTTCCTTTGCAGACAGATGCAACAGCTGGATAGAATTCATTAAACTGAAAGCTCAAACCATAAGGCGTGGATCAATTAAGACAAGTAGGCAGCCCTTTCTACCCCATTCTGATCATTGGGAGCCTAGATTCTGATCTCTCAGTGGCAAAGGGCAGAGCTTCGTATTCAATAGTGTGGCGTTGCAAAAATCAGTGTCCCGAGTGTGAAAGCTGCAGACGCATGAGGTCTGTCCAAAAAAACGGTTAATTTTGGAGCACGCGGCTCCCCAGATAATTGCCAGTATATGTACAGGTGGCCAACAGGCTTGTGAATTGTATCCCACCCAACCCAACCCAAAGATATGCATAATCTGCATGGCAGAATATGTATGTATACCTCGGTGAAATTACTCATAAAATGCAGGGATTCCCTGTGTGACCTGCATGGCTATAATTACTGGATTAATCCATGGTGAGTTGTTGTTGTTTTTTTAATACTTATTGAAGTTCTTCCCTAGGTTTTGCTTTATTTGCTTAAGATGACAGTTTTAGATGGAAGCCGGAAGAGCTTAGACCAAATTTGCAAAAACAGCAAAAAAAATACATATATATAAAAGTGGAACGGAGAAACACGTCAACTTTCACACTCTTTCCTGTAGACTCTTGTCGTTCCTTCTTGCAGAAAATGTTCATCAAATTTTGACTCTTTTTTCGAATCCTTCCTCTCCTCTTCCTCCCCCCCCCTCCCCCCCGCACACTTTTCGGTAGATCCACTTTATAACCAAATCATCTGTCTGTGCAGCTGCTGGCCTCCATGTTTCCTTTCGCAGGAATGATCCTTTTCTCCCAAAAATAAATCCCGACCAAGCTTCTGGCATCTCACTTGCATGTGCTGCATGATGATTTGCTTTCTTTGGCTGAGCATCACAGGCAGCTGAATGTGGTCATCCAGCTCTCTCACACCCATGTGGAAAGGGTCACTGTGTTGGCACTGCCTCTGTCCGGTTTGCCCGGAGTTCGAGTTGAGCTTCTCTCTCTCTCTCCCTTTGCTCTGTGTAGCCATCTCCCTTGACAAGCCAAGTCCACTGACCGAAGGACTGTGCCGTAACCACCTGGGACCCACAGGAATGAACTCCACTGTGCCCGTTGTGAAGATGACACCGCTTTCTTTCATCCCCGGGGCAAAAATAACGAAATACCTTGGAATCATCAACATGTTCTTCATTCGAGAAACCACTTCTTTGCGAGAGGTGAGCTGACAAGTGTATTTCTCCCGTGTGGAATTGCAGGCAGGATTGAGTTTAGGTTTGAAGTATGGCATGGACTTAGACCTGAAATGTGGCATGGCTCCAGAGTATCTGAGGAGCCGTTTCACCTCAGTGGGACTACCCTACCCCACTTGCTCCAGTAGAAGGGATTGTTGTAGATCTCATCGGCTGGTTCTCCTCTAGAGAACTATATAAATTGAATGCTAGTCAAGTTCCAATTTCTTGTTCCTCTCTTGACATGATATCCTTATAGACATTATCTAAATTCTACACTAGCAAAGTAACACTGATGGAAAAGAAGTTCTTCCCGCAGGTTGGCATGAAGATCATCTAAAGATCTGAAGGCTCTCAATTAGGAGAGAACATGAACTATCAGGACAGGTTCAATTTAAAACCAATAAAAGAAACTATTTGAAGGTCTGGGTTGAACTGTGTTATCCTTGGTGCTCTCTCAGCTTGGTGGTTTTCTTGCAGACATTTAACTGCCCTTCATTATTATTACTACAAGAAAACCACAAGCTCGGACAGCACCAAGGAACCCACCATTTAAGATCAGTTGTTATCAGGTGCAAAAGACCAGGACCACATGTGAAGTTCCAATTAAATTGATTTATTATTATAAACGCTAATGCATAGAAATCAATTAATGGTTACCATTATTTTGGAGCTAAAGGTCAATAGAACTCAAGAGGGGTTGGACCTGGTCAATTTGTGGCTACATAGTGACTCTAGGCTGATGACTCTCTTGACTCCACCCCCAGGCTCTGCCACCCATTCTCCTATGGCTATGGTTTTCAATGGTAGGGGAGCCTGTAGCTTGCTTGCTATTGTGGGACTCCATCTCCCTGAGTACTTTTTCATATTTATTGTTCGCTGGGCAATCTTTTTTATCTTCAGGCTGACCCTAAATTGTTCTGCATGTTTCACATTTTAGTCCATCTCTTGGGTTTTTTTCAAATTCTGTAGCAGAACTATAAACATATCTGTCTTTCCTAGGTACAAAATAAACAGTGGGGGTATTTTTTTTTTTAAAAAAGTGCTAGATCCATCTCTTTATTGTGATTTTAATCTGTTTATCTTGATAATAAATCAGGCTTTTCTCACTGGGGAAGCTGAAGTGTAAATATCCCAACCATTTTTTATGAGTTCAGTATGAGAAGGCTATTTCTTTTGAGACAGTGGACACAGCTCTCAATTAATTAGAACAATTTCGAAGTCTTACATGTTTACACCACTTATTTTTCACTTCAGTTGAGAGTCTAGAACAGTGGTGGTGAACCTATGGCACGCGTGCCAGAGGCGGCACTCAGAGCCCTCTCTGTGGGCACACGCACCATGCCCCAGAGATGGCAACCGTCCCTCGTCAACCAGCTGCCTGCTAACTCGCCGAGGTCCCACGTGTCCGGATGCATCCCAGCATGGCTGGTTTGCCTCCCCCCCCCCCGGCCCATCCTCCTGGCCTTGCATGCTCTCCTTTTTCTGGGCATGACCCACTGCATCGCCTCCTCAGCTGTCGGCCGGCCGTCCAGCTCAGAGGCGGCTTCTCTGACCTGCAGGTTGCAGGCTGCGGAGCCCCAGAGCGGGGCTGTGGCTGCTGACAGACACTGTTGGCCCCCTTACGCTCGCTGGCCTCTGTGTGCGGGGGCCGATGGTGTCAGGCAGCAGCCGCCCCGGCCCCTGCCTCACCTTGCCCTGTGAAAATGGCACCCCCACCCAACCTCGCCTTGCCTCGCCTCACCCCGCAGGATGAGCCTCCTGCCCACCGCCCCATCTGCCAGAGATCCCCTGGATCTCCCCCAACCCTGCCTGGCCCCCACAGGCGTCCCTTCCCATGAGCAACATCGAGGTGACCACGCTCACCTTGGCCACAACCAGTCTGCCATGGCCACCCAGTGGGCCACGCCCACCTGGCACCCGGAGAGAAATAAGTGGGGTTTGGGTCGCGATTTGGGCACTCGGTCTCTAAAAGGTTCGCCATCACTGGTCTAGAAAGAATGCAGATAAGAGCAACAAAGATGACTGGGGGAGGGCTGGAGGCTAAAGCATACAATGAACAATTGCGGCAACCGGATATGTCTAGTAATCTGACGGATAGCAGGACTAAGAGTGACATGATCGCAGTCTTCCAGTACAGGTAATCCTCAACTTACAACAGTTCATTTAGTGACTGCTCAAAGTTACAACGGATGGCACTGGAAAAAAGTGACTTACGACCGTTTTTCACAGTTACGACCTTTGCAGCATCCCCACATCGTGTGATCAAAATTCAGATGCTTGGCAACTGGTTGTTTATATTTGTGACGGTTGCAGTGTCCTGGGGTCATGTGATCCCCTTTTGCCAACTTCTGACCAGCGAAGTCAAGGGGGGGAAGCCAGATTCACCGAACACCGGGGTTCCTAACTTAATCAATTGCAGTGATTCACTTAACAGCAGTGACGAGAAAGGTCTTAAAAATGGGGCAAAGCTCACTTAACAAATGTCTCACTTAACAATAGAAGTTTTGGGCTCAGTTACGGTCGTTAAGTCAAGGAATACCTGTATTGGAGGAGCTGTCACACACAGGGAGTCGACCTCTTCTCCAAAGCACCTGAGGGCAGAAGAAGAATTAACAGGTGGAAGATTGTTAAAGAGAGGTCCAGCTTGGAACTAAGGAGAAGTTGCCTCACAGTGAGAACAATTGATCAGTGGAACGACTTGTCTTCAGAAGCTGTGGCTGCTCCATCACTGGAGGCTTTGAAAAAGAGACTGGACCTCCCTTTGTCTAAAATGGTAAAGGATTTCCTGCCTGAGCAGAGGGTTGGACTAGAAGACCTCTAAGCTCCCTGCCAGCTCGGTTATTCTGTATTCAAACAACTTGTCTGTGTTTGTTTTACAGGAAGGTGGAGTGAGTGGGTTCCTGCATGCATTTGTGGCTGAGGTTTTTGCGATGGTCCGAGCTCACGTGGCAGCCCTTGGGGGAAATGCAGTGGTCTCCTACATCATGAAGCAATGTGTGTTTATGGAGAACCCAAACAAAAACCAGGTAAATATGCTACCCTTACCAAACCCTCCTGATGTCCATCTGGAGGTTCTGTTAAGTTTTTGGCTTAATGTCGTGGTTCCGACTCTTCAAAGGACTTTGAGGCATTGTTTACCTTAAAGAATCTTTATTAGAGAAACATAGCATCGGCACTAACATAATCGAAGCCAAAAACTAGATTCCCCTCCCCTGAGCACATAGTCTCAAAGCACAATTCCCTCCTCCAATTCACAGTCATAAATCACATTCTCCAATTAGTTTGAAATGCAGGCTTTCCCTCCAGGTCTCCAGCCCGCCAATTCTTATCATCTCTTATTTCAATAACCTTGGTTCTCACACTAGGTCCAGTATTGTTATGTCTAGCTAAACCAGGGGTTCTCAACCTTGGCAACTTTAAGACTTGTGGACTTCAACTCCCAGAATTCTGGGAGTTGAAGTCCACAAGTCTTAAAGTTGCCAAGGTTGAGAACCCCTGAGCTAAACTCTCATGCACATTCCTCCCCCCAGCATCATCTAACTCTAAAAGTAAAATATAAGAAGAAAATGGTTGCATCTCCATCTGTTGTCAAAGCAAAAACATCTGATGTTAGCAGCATTGACAGAGAAGGTGATGGCCAAATTAAACCATTTGTAACTTATTTCTGGAATTTTCAGAACCAAAAAGAAGAGACTTTTGCACCAATGAGTTTGCAAAACAGTGTCCAATGCTTCAGAAATAATTTGCAAAAGGTGCTTCATAGCATGTAGCCCCATGGACATAGCCATTTGCTACACTTAAAACAGCAGTATCTTTTTCTAGGATTGTATGGCTGCTGTCCATAAGTTCTGGCTCATGCTCCTTCATACTCCAAAAACATTTTTGGAATTAAATCCAATAGATAACCCCAACCTATAGCTAATAATTTAAAAGCACATAGCTTTTAAATTAAAATTATGGATTAATCCATTCTTAGGTGGGCTGGCATGTCATCTTAGGCATGCCAGAGCTGTTCTTTATCCCAAAACTGATAGGTTTTGCTTAAATTAGAAACCAGGACTTGCATTTCACCTGGATTAGGTATGAACAAATTTTAATTAACAGTTTAAATAATTCTTGCAGCTCTAAAGGTTATGTGGTTTTGAATAGATAAAAGCAAAGAGACTCCCAAAATAATTATTTTTTCCACCTACAGACCTATCCTTAAGTTGGGTCAAATGTGATATACGTTCCATCATCTGTGATCCAACTCCTTAAAGCAGACCTGGAAATCTGTTGATTGTATGGCACTCACTGTTTACCCCAGTGTTTCTCAACCATGGCAACTTTAAGATGTGCAGCCAGCTATGCTGCCGGGGCAATTTTGGGAGTTGAAGTCCATCCATCTTAAAGCTGCCAAGTTGAGGAACATTGATGTACCCCTTTGAGACTTTGGAAGCATAGCCAATCCTTCCTCCCTGCAACCAGGCTGGCTATGAATTCTGGACATCAGCCAGCAAAAAGCCCCTTAGTTGATGGAAGCAACTTACAAATTGTTGAAAAATCATTAAAATTGTAGAGACAGGCAAGTACACAACGCTACCCCAAAATCTGTTTATCCTGATAGCTACTCTTACTATCTGCAGAATCCCATGTAGGGCTATTGCTATCATCTATATTTTTCCCCAGTTCTATGTATACCTAGAACTTGTGAAGCTGCCGAAACCACACCACGTTTTATAAGCCTGTGTAAGTGATCAGAAACGGCCAGTTTTAAAGTCCATCAGACATAATAATGGAATTTCCCTCCTTTGTTGCTGCAGGCCCAGTGTCTAATAAATGTCAGTGGAGATGCAGTCATTTTTATTCGTGAATCCGAACTAGATGGGGTGCCTGCCCAGTTTTCTGCTATGGGTTCCACAAAAGAAACAACATGAAGAACAGAGATCGTCTTCATTCGTGTGATCATATTTCCAAAGGCTCTGGTGGCCAAGTTTTGTTTCTTAACGTTCCTTATATGAAGGACTGCTCCATTTTGAACCAGCTTAAAACATCTTTCCCATTTCATAAGATCCACCTCATAGCTCTCTGGGCAGATGAAAGAACATCTGACAGAAGAAAGAAACGGACCATCTATTGTTCTTCAGACTCCTCAGGATATTGGCCTGCATTTTACAATACAACCTTAGAAACACTCTGAGATGCTAATTCTTTGATAAGGTGGGGGGGAGGGGAATATTTATATTGAAACTGGAATAACTGGGAAAGCTAAATCTACATTTTCCATAAAGGAAGAACTGGCGTTACCATCGCCAGATGTGCACTATGCACTAGAGAACTTACCTGCTGGAATAAGCGAGACTAATAAGCATCCTAAACTGGATTTTGTGGCATGTTTGTTGCTTTGTTTTCACATGAGCGAGCTATGAACTATTTTTCTATTGTAGTTTTTTTTTTTAAAAAAAAAAAAAATAAATTGCAGTATTGATTATGATGAATTAGCCAATGCGCAAATGATTGCTATAGCCTGTCTTTCGAACAGCGGGACACGGGAACAATATTTCTCAAGGCGCTGAAACCCCAGCTGCGTTGGAAGAGAAGGTCAGGATTTCGTTGGGTTGTAAATGCTCCCGAAATGGAGAAACCACAAAGGCCGCCAAACGCTACTACCCTTCCCTAAGCAGCACTCGGCTTTGGTACTCAAGACAGGGCTTGTGGTAAATAAAACTAGAGTTTCAGAGAACCCTGGATTGATGAAAAAAGAAAATGAAAAAAAGAGAAAAAAAACCTTAAGAAATTGCTGACAGTGATTCCATGCCTAAAGAGGCACTTTGAAAAATAGGGGAGAAATTTGCATCCAGCCATCGATGTTTTGAGTGGCGATAGAACAACAGTCACCCAACAGAGAAAGAAGTCTCTTAAAAGTGGTTTCCTTGGTCCAGTTTCAGCTGATATTCTATTGACAGAATATCCATCAGATCTCCCGATGTTCATCCTCCCTCACCAAACATATTCTTGAGTTAAGAAGGGTCAAGCCGAAATGTTCTGGCGTTTTCCAATATGGAACTTGAAGTACATATGTAAACTTGAATGTAAATACATGAGAATTTATTGGGTTAAATTGCAGAAACTTCTAGATTATTTGTCCAATTCAGAGATTTCTTTGTAAGGAGAATGTGAACATCACATTCCTATGTACATAATAAAGCTTCTTTATATAAATGTCTGCTTTCGTGCTGTGGACAGGTATTGTGAAAAAAAAAAAAGATCACATAATGGCATTCTGGTGGGGTTAGGTTTGATTAACTTTCTAGAATCCTGGCCCCAATTTTTTCAAGAACTTTTTAATGTGATAATTTAGGAAGTGAAGAAATTACAGGATATATATTTTTAACTCGCTTCGTACATGGTGCTTGGGGAAATTGTGGTTCCTGCTGTCTTGTACTGTTGTGGTCCTTTTTTTTAACATTGTTCTAATATATCTAACATCAAGAAAATAATCTGATTTCTTACACCAATATTATTGTGCTTTCATTATTCTTACACATCTAACATTGAGAACATTGACTCCTTTCTTGCATCAACCTCATTGTATTTTCTTACATTCTAATACGCCTAACACTGAGAAAATAGCAAACTCTTAATTCCTGCCCACCTCAGCATAGCCAGGCGATGGAGATATGTGTCTCTGTGTTGTGTTGAAAAATCCTGAAACTTTCTTGAGTAAGGCAGGAAGCCTAACACTCACCATGGGAGCTCTTTATGAACTCCAATATTGGGACAGTTGGCATGTGTAGTAGTATTAATATCCATTATGACAGTATGTGTATTTAGGGCCCAATCTGGTTGGTCACCAGGTTTTGTCTTCCAAGTTTTCGGACCTGTGCTGGAGCCCATCCTCAGGGAACTTCTTTCTAGCTGAGTGTGTGCTGTTCTGTGTGTAGTATTTATAGTGCCTGTTGCAAGTGGCTTTTTAGATGTTGATTTAGGTCGTTAGCTGTCATTTGCTTGTGCTGCCCAAACCTCGCCTTCTGATAGGCTGGTGATAAATCAGCACTCCTGTTGACTGATTAGGGGCCTGTTTCCCAGGCTTCAATCACTTCCCTGGCTGTTTTTGTGCCTTCTCGTCCAACAATCTTGGTAGCTGCAAAATTGAATCTGTGCCCTTGTTTGCACAGACATCTTGTAACAAATTATTGTGGGTACCCATTCTGCTTCAATTGTTCACATAGATTGTTTGGCTTGCTGGGTAGTAGAGTGGGTCCTTTTTTCCCCCCCTTAAAGGTCTTTTGTTGGCTATTCAGATTTCCAGGACAATTGTAGGTAACCTATTCAATCTCTTGGACAAAAACACAAATAAGATCGCTCAAACTTGCCTTAATTCCACAAAATCCTACTGCCCTCTTCAAGACCTCATGCGATCATGTGAGGTTTGTATTCAGAGGTAGGATCTTGTGAAGTGTTACTAGTAAAATATTCAACTTGGGTTAAAACTGTGGCAGCTGTCCAAGGAAATTAAGGATTTGCTGATGCCACAGGCTCCTCTGCTAATTTAAACAGAGCTTTTTAAAATTAATTATACCAATATTTTCACACAAGAGCTGGGACTGCAGAAGAGCTACTGATACAAAGATGCTTGAAAGGGAGCAACAGAGAAAAAACAAACTTGGTCCACTTCTGACTAGCAGAACTGTAGTTCTTTATTATAAGTATTTCAGAGCTGTTTGCTGGAAACATCCTTCTAGAAAGAGTACAGAGAAGAGCAACAAAGATGATTAGGGGACTGGAGGCTAAAACATATAAGGAACGGTTGCTGGAATTGGGTATGTCTAGTTTATCGAAGAGAAGGGCAAGGGGGGACATGATAGCAGTGTTCCAATATCTCAGGGGCTGCCACAAAGAAGAGGGAGTCAAGCTATTTTCCAAAGCGCCTGAAGGCAGAACAAGAAGCAACGGGTGGAAACTAATCAAGGAGAGAAGCAACCTAGAACTAAGGAGAAACTTCCTGACAGTTCGAACAATCAACCAGTGGAACAACCTGCCTCCAGAAGCGGTGAATGCTCCAACACTAGAAGTTTTTATCCGAAATGGTATAGGATTTCCTGCCTGAGCAGGGGGTTGGACTAGATGACCTCCAAGGTCCCTTCCAACTTTATCATTATTATTATTATTAATACTGCTTTGAGGCTGGAAAATCATGAACTAGCAGGCTGGCTCATGCTTCAGTTTGACTTGTCTTGCTTGACTGCAGTTTGTTTGGAAAACATGTAATTACAGGGCATTGCTATGCACATTGTCTAAAGTGATGAGAAACTGGAGAAAGGTTAGCCTTTGCTAGGCAACCTGTACTCAAGTTAACAAGAAATTGGATTTCTTCTGCAAGGATGGGCTGATCCTCATCCCTCCCTGGCCCCATCCTGCCCCAATCCCAAACCAAAGGCAATCAATCTAGTTAAGTCATCATGGCTTGTCACTGTTACAAATATTTCCTGCAGCTTACCAACTTTTCAGCGGGTCATGTAAGACCTGTCCCTTAGGCACAGAGCTTAATTATTGGCGTTTTTATGGCATGGACGTTTTTATGAGCAAAAGTAATGACCAGTTGCTAACTGTCAGGACACACACAGTATTAATGCCACAGTAATCTGGACGGAAGAATGAGCTCCGAGAATTTGTTTGACCTTTGCTGAACTCTCTCTGCCTCAATCTGGCCAGGTTCAAATAATGTACTAAGCTAAACCATGTACTGGTTTAGCCACGATTACTTAATTTTATATATACAATAAATAAAGCCACTGCACCTGCATCAACCTACCTTTTTCCTGTAGCCTTTCATATCTGCACCCAACATAGAAACAATGAAGCCATTTCAAAGCTGAAACATGCTGACCCCCAAATGCCTTATTCCCATTTCAGGGTCAAATCATTTCCCATAAAATCAGGAGAAGAGTTTGTGATACTTTGGGGGAAGTCAGAATTGGACGTTTGGGGACAAAACATTTCCGTCATAATGTTCTGCACAATTCTAATTTAAGCTGTCACATTTGATGTTTTTATAACCATCGGAAGAAGAGAGAGAAAGGTTTGGTTGGGTCAAATCATGCTCAGGTTTGTACTTGTGCCGCCCCTGTAAATCATAACTTCTGCAAATTAGTAGAATACAGGTAGTCCTCGACTTACAACAGTTTGTTTAGTGACCATTCGTAGTTACAACAGCACTGAAAAATGGGACTTACGTCCCAGGTTCACGCAATTCATTTTTGCAACCTTCTGACAAGCAAAGTCAGTGGAGAAACCAGATTCACTTCACCACCAGGTTACTAACTTATCAGCTGCAGTGATTCACTTAACAAGAAGTGGCAAGAAAAGTAAAGTGGGCAAAACTCACACAAATGTCTCACTTAATGACAGAATTTTGGGCTCAATTGTGGTTGTAAGTTGAGGATTACCTGTATAAAATAAACCATCAAGCCAGATGTAACATACAGTAGATCTTTTAAAAATGTATTTTGAAAAATCAAAGAAATCATTGAGCCCATAAAATATGTACCTAAATGTCTTTAATACGTAGATAATTGTGAAAGGATTGGACCAATTCCTCGAAAATGAGGTTGCCAACAACTACTAGTTATATATAATAACTAGTATTTTAGAAGCCTTAAATACCAGCTGGCAGAAAACAATAGCGGAAAGAGATTCTGATAGAAAAGAGAATATTTGTAGCTCAGCTGAACTGTGGGATTCTTGATGGCCTCTAAGCTTGGTGGTTTTCTTGCAGATGTTTCATTATAAAATTAGGTACCATCATCGGTACTGATGTCTGCAAGAAAACCACCAAGCTCAGACCACACCAAGGATCCCACAGACTCAAGAAGAGAGAAAAGTTCAAACCTTGAAAGTTACATACATATGTGAGGGTGAAGGTTGATCTTTCAAGCTTGTGAGTTGGTTTCTGAAGGATTCATTACCAGGCTAGGTAAACATTTTCAGTGGAGTTTAGAGGATGTCAGTGTTCTTCTCTTTATAAGAGCTTTAGGTGTGGGTGTGTCAAGTGAGGGTCTTTTGATGGGTCAGGTGTGAGTCATCAGTGAGAATCTTGTGATGGTCTTGTGAATGGGGAGGTTATATCAGGCCAGGGTCATTGGTGGGGGGGGGAACTGCTGGTGGGAGGGGGGCTAGCGTGGGTTATGTAATATGTTGTTCTATCCCAGCCTACGTCCTTGTTATGCTCACAAGGAGAAAGCCCTCTTCCAAGAAACAGGAATCGCAAGAAAAAACCAACCCCTTTTGTTCTCACAGATCTGAGTCAATGTCCAAGGCAAACACAGTCCACAGAAACTCGATCCTCAACACGAACGGTTGCCTTCAGCAACCAGCAGCTCCCACACCTTTTACAATTCAGCCAAGGCATGGCTTCCTAATGCCTTCTCCTTTGCCTTTGGAGGCACCCCATTGCTTTCCTCTGTCCTACTCGCTTCTCTTGCCTGCGCTTTCATGCATCTGGGATTTGTCCCAACTGTTCTTCATCACTGTCCAACTCAGGCTCCCAGCACAGCTGTGTCTCAGCCTGAGCGCAAGTAGAGGGGCCAGGCTCCTCGTCCGACTGTAAGTCTTGGAGCTCCTCAGAACTTTCCTCTGACTCTAATGTCACTCCAGACCCTGTCTCCTCATCTGATTCCTCAGACTCAATTGCTGGATCCACTGGAAGGCGAGGAATCACAATATATGTAAAGATAAGGTTCCTAGGTCTTTGACCTTTGCTTGCAAAATTCTGGTCAATAAATTTACTGTTCCAACTTTGTGTGTGGTTGGAAACGGAGCTGGAAAAGAGACTGTTAACCTTGACATCATAGTAACTTCCCAGACATGAGGTTGGCCACAGTGACACAGGGTGATGAGCTAGGTGGACTTCTGGCCCTTATCTAAATTATCTCCTGAGGCTGCTGAATCTGATCTGCAATGAATCTGCACCAATGTCACCTACTTGGGTAATGAAACGTCTGTAAGAAAACCACCACACTCAGAGAGCATCAAGGACCCCACAGTTCATCCCCGAGCTACAAATATTCTGTTCTGTAACTGCTGAATCTTTGCACACATTTGATTTTCAAAGATACAAAATCCATGGCTGGATTATGCCCAAGGAAGAGACATGCAGAAATGTACAAGAATCTTGGGATAAGGCAGTGATGGCGAACCTTTTAGAGACCAAGTGCCCCAAAACTGGCCCCACTCCTGCTCCACCCCCTGCCCTGCCCCCGCTGTGCCCCCACCCCGCCTGCCCGCAGGGCCACTCACTGCTTCCAGGACCCACCGCAGATCACCCAGGTAGCCCAGCAGTGCCATGGCGGCCACGCCCTCTGCCCATGTCCCGCAGCATCAACTGCGCGGGATGGGGTGTGAGGGCAGAGTCTTGTCTATACTGCCTGGCTGCCATGTCCTTAGCTGTGCTGCTCCATATGGGCCACACTTGGGGGGTGACTCTCCTCCAGGGAGGCTGCTGGTGAGGAGGGGATTGTGGGGGGAGTCGAGGCTGGGGCAACGGCACATGTGCCCACAGAGAGGGCTCCGAGTGCCGCCTCTGGCACGCATGCCATAGGTTCGCCACCACTGGGATAGGGGAAGGTAGCAGGCTTTCCACTGTAGACCAAAGTTTCTGTGCATAGGACCTGTGCATATGCCCTGTTTTATTAAAAAAGGAAGTGAACGGCATTTTCCAGTAGCTGTACTGGAGGGGGTTGGGAGGAGGGGTTAGGCAAAATGGAAGATAATGACCTATGATAATAGGATCACCCTGTGTGTGATTAAACAACTCATTTAGGAGTTTCTACACATACACGTACCTTGTAAGACTTCTACACATAGGCTATAGGATGTCCGCACTAAGCTGTAGGATTTCATGATAAAATACATATAAGGGAATAGGTGAAGCAAAATAGTAAGGGGCAGGGATAATGTATTTTGTTTAGGCGATCCTGATAAGATTGTAACCTCTAAAGCTCAGCCAATGAAGCCACAGAGGAGGGGGCCAAGGCATCGGGATAGAATGCATATGTGTGTCTTTGTTGTGACTAAGTGTGGCTCAAATATTGATTTGGAGTCCACCACGCTTTGCAAACCGTTGCATCCAATAATATTTTGGGCGGGGTATGTAGATTTTAAGTGTCTTTGTCTTCTTAATCTTCTAGCTGGGGGTTTCCAACCTTCCTGGATTATTTATATCTGCATTTGTACAGAGCTGGTTTCGGCTTGGGGGACAGGGACTTGGGGCTATTAAGAAAACTGGGCATGCTTGCACCTATCAAGGGAGCCCAACCCAAACCAGCCTGGGAAGTGATGGGCGGGGGGGGGGGGCACTCGGGGAAAGGGATGGCGCAGCAAAGAGGCTTTTCTTTGTGAGGGAAAAAAGGCCTGCTGCCCCTTCCCCCTCAATCCTCCGCCACCTCCCCTCTTTTGTTTCTAGCCTAGGGGTAGGCAACCTTGGCTCTTTTATGACTCGTGGACTTCAACTCCCAGAATTCCTGAGCCAGCATGGCTCAGCTTGGAAATCTCTCCCTTTCCCCTCAGCATGGCTGGCTCAGGAATTCTCGGAGTCGAAGTCAAAGAGTCATAAAGGAGCCAGGTTTGCCCACCCCTGGACCTAGCCCAACCCCCCTCCCCCTCCCCCTTTCTTGAGGAGAAACGAGCTCCTGAGGCACGGCGGATTCCCGTGCTCCTCTCCCGGCTCCTTCCCCCCCCCCCCGCTGGGCCTTTCATCTCCCCAACATTTTAGGATCTCCTTTTATCCTCCAGACAGGAAGTCCACGAGGAGGTGGAGGGGGCAGGAGACCCGGCGGGGAGGGATGGGGGAGCCAGCCAGCCTAGGGGAGCGCGAGGGCGGCGGAAGGAGGAGGCTGAGGCGAGCCTAACATCCCCAAACGCTCGGCGCGCGCACCGCCCCCACCTCAACTCTCTCGCGCCCCCCATCCCCCCTCCTCTCCTGCTGACGGCCGCCTCTTTTCTCCCCCGGCTTGCCCTCCCCGCGCCTCATTTCCTCGCCAGCCGGGCTAGAGGATGGATGGTGGAGGGGAGTCGCCGCCGCCGCCGCCGCCGCCCTTCTAAGCGAAGGAGGCCCTGCGCGGTCCCTTCCCGCGGCCAAAAGGGACCCGAGTCGCCCGCTCGCTTGGGCTGGGCAGTCCGGAGGCCAGCCGATCGGCCGGCCGGCTCCTGCATCCTCATCAGCGGCAGCAGCAGCAGCCTCGAAAACCTCGCGTCCCGCGGCTAAGCGGGAGGTCCGCGGGGGCGCCCCTGCATAGCGGGCCTGGAGTGGCCCGCCTTCCTTCCCGCCGGACCCTGAAGGAGAAGGCGACGAGGGGGGGGCGTTTTCGTCTCCCGCCCTCGACCTCCCCAGGACTGGCGACCTGCTTCGGCAGGGGCCGCATGCGGAGGAATGCGGAGGATGGCGCCGGCGCTGGCGCTCTGCAAAGGCCGGCGCACGCGGTTGCCGGTGGGCGCCAGCGCGTTGGGCTTCCTGGTGCTCTACTGGCTGTACGTCTTCCCGGTCTACCGGGTGCCGGACGAGAAGGAGATCGTGCCCGAGGTGCTCCGGCATCAGGGCAAAGCTTGGCGGAGGAACCTGAGCGCCGCGGCCGAGTTCAGGTGAGCGCGCCTCGCCTTCTCCCGCGGGAAGGGGCGCGTCTCGGTGGGCAGCCGGGAGACGGGGCCGGCGGGGACCGTCCATTCGACCACGCGGGGGGCTAGTCCTTATTGAACACGCCCCCTGGCCGGTGTGCGGCGCGCTCGCTCGGAGCCAGACAAAGAGGCTGAGTTCCGCAGTGGCGTTTGAATGGCACCGCCGGTTTGGATGGTTTAGACGCGCGTCTCTTTGTCGTGGAAACGGGGGGCGCCCGCTTTAGGAGGATCTAGCCCCCTCTTTTAAAACCCGTCACCCCCTTTCGGAAGGAGCCAGCGAGCCGGATTTTTAAAAAGTGTCGTTGCAGATAAAATGCAGGGAGGATGAAGGTCTCCTTATCCTTACCAAGGCTAAAGACCTTTTCTTTATGGCCGGTTGCATATAAGCCTTCTCAGGTCACACCCATCCCAGTTAAATATGACACCGACAACGGTGGTGGATTTGAACGGGGGGAGTTCACTTAAGTTGAAGGTAAAAATTGCTGGTGATCTGAATGCATGGATTAAGCACCATTAGTGCAAAGGTGCGGGTTACCTTCATGAGATGCGCCCAGTGGTGGGTTTTTTTTTTCTCTTCAAAATGCAGCTCGACTTTCTTTGTTTTGCCTTGAAGACGTTTCGCTTCTTCAGTCCCAAAAGGCTTTTTTTGAAAAGGCAGCTGGACTTTCCTTGTTTTCCCTTAAGGATCTCATCCAAAACACTTCTTCCGTTCTTCTGAAAAAGCTTCTTGGGTGAGAAGCAGAGCATCCTCCAGGAAAAAACAAAGAAAGTCCAGCTGCCTTTTCAAAAAAGCATCTTTGGGGAAAATGACGACCTGGATGACTGAAAATCTCCATAGACATTTAAGGAGGTTCAGGTGTTCTGCAAGAAGACTTGCACAAGATTGCAGGCAGTTCCCGCTTCGACTTTTAAAGTGTTCTCTTAGTCTGACCCAGTTAAACAGTTAAAATCTCATTTCCTTTTGGAGAGCTAAATTAGCAGTGTCTTCTGACAGTGAAAAGCTGTGCTTAGACAGCATGCTTTGTGCTTTCTTTTTAAAGAAAGGTTGCCTCGGCAATTCTTTTTGTGCGTTAAGCAATGTACCATTTAGATCAGAGGTCCCCAATCTTTTGGGCAGTTTTTTTTCCCAGGGACCTGAGAGGGTGTGGTTTTGTGTGCTGCCTGCGTGACGCGGATAGGGCTTTTTTGCTTGTTTGTGTGGACCGGTTGCTGGCATGCTGCAGCCCGGCACTGGTCCACAGACCGGGGATTGGGGACCCCTGATTTAGATTACTGGTTTAGCTGGTGAGATATAAACACCCATTTTTTTCAGAAGAGAATTTCTGTAACTCAGGGTTGAGTTGCGGAGTTCTGGGTGTTTTCTGAGCTTGATTGATTGTTTGCTTGCCGACTTAATGACACTGCAATGACTTAATGACACTGAGCTCAGAGGGAACTGAGGAGGTCCACAAATATATTTTTCCTGGCATTCTTTCCACACTCTTTACAATCCTGAACACTTAGGATCAAGTCCGTGTTGAACAGAAAGATGCAGAAATCTAGATCTAGAGACAAATATTTAATTTAGATTAGTGGATTGACCCTTTTCTGAGCAAAATATATTGAATCATAAATTAAGCAAATAGGCTGATTTCAGACAGAGTGCTAATTCCTATCCCACTCATTCCCCCCCCCCTTTTTTTAAAAAAACCATTTTAAAATTTCTTATGCATTGTATACTTTCTCGCACAATGTAGTTTCTTACACATTGTGCTCACAAATCCCTACAGTCTGGCTTATCCAATTTATCCTATTCTGTGAATGCAGGTATAAAATCTTTCATTGACTTGATTAAGCTTCCACTCTAATGATATGATTGATGTTTAGGGTTAAAAAGAGTTCAGCCAAATGCTGACTGAAATCACTGCATTTCACTTTTTTCTGCTGTTAATTTATATAGGACAATGTCTATGGAGATTCTCAGTCATCCAGGTCATGGTTGTCCCAAACGTGCTTTTTTTCAGGAGGCAACTGGACTTACCTCGTTTTTCTTTGAAGATGTTTTATTTTGCATCCAAGAAGCTTCTTCAGCTCTGACTGGATGGTGGGAAATGGAAGGATTCGTATTCCTTGCAGACAGCTGGTCATTAGCCTTCTTTTAGAGAATAGTTGAGGTCATAAGGAAAGCATATAAGGAACGACTGCTGGAATTGAGTATGTCTAGTTTAATAAAGAGAAGGATGAGGGGGGACATGATAGCAGTCTTCCAATATCTCAGGGGCTGCCCCAAAAAAGAGGGAGTTAAGCTCTTCTCCAAAGCACCTGAAGGCAGGACAAGAAGCAACAGATGGAAACTAATTAAAGAGAGAAGCAACCTAGAACTAAGGAGAAACTTCCTGACAGTTGGGAACAATTAACCAGTGGAACAACCTGCCTCCAGAAGTGGTGAATGCTCCAACACTGGAAATTTTTAAGAGACTGGACAGCGATTTGTCTGAAATGGTACAGGGTTTCTGGCCTGAGCAGGGGGTTGGACTAGATGACCTCCAAGGTCCCTTCCAACTTTATTGTTACTATTATTACTTGGAAGTTTGTCTGTGCCCTCAGAGTCACCTGAGCACAATCTGTGCTTAGACTCTAGCATGAGAATGTACCGGTAGTTGTAAAATTATTATATAACACACAGCTACTAACACATTTGCATCTGTCTCTATGGCTGATTGTCCACATGAAGACATGTTTGCTTTTGAATACAGCTTTTTCTTTTCATGTATTCAAGGTAGAAGATGTGTTTGGGGACAATTACCCCTCTGTGTAGCTTATACAGGTATCCCTCAATTTACAACCACAATTGAGCCCAAAATTTCTGTTGCTAAGTGAAACATTTGTTAAGTGAATTTTGTCCTCTTTTACAACCTCTCTTGTCAGAATTTTTAAGTGAATCACTGCAGTTGTTAAGTTAGTAACACGGTTGTTAAGTGAATCTGGCTTTCCCATTGACTTTGCTTGTCAAAAGGTCACAAAAGGGGATCACATGCAACCTGGGACACGGCAACCATCATAAATATGAACCAGTTGCCAAGCATCTCAGTTTTGATCGCGCGACCACAGGGATGCTGCAACGGTTGCAAGTGTGAAAAACAGTCATAGGTCACTTTTCCCACTGCTGTTGTAATTTCAAACAGTCACTAAATACCTCTATCGTGCTAGTTGTAGTATGCATTGCAGTTTTCCCTGGATTAATATTTTTCATTGTAAACTTTTACGTAGGAAACATGTCTCTGATGGCACTGGAGTAGAAACAAGGTGCACAGAGCAGACTTCACAAATAAGTGTGCATTTATGAAAAATGAGTAGATTTAAGCGTTGGCTCGTTCAATGAATTTTGCTGCCTTGCCTTTTAATAACGGTTCCCACGTTTTTCACTAAAGAAAATAAATAGTGAAAATAGCCTTTGGGCCTATGCTGAATGATTGGAAACTTAGAAATTGTGATGTAGGACAGAGGTCCCCAACCTCTTGGGCACCGGGGACCGGTTCCGTGAAGACAGGTTTTTCCACGGACCGGAGGGGGCGTGGTTTTGTTTGCTGCTTGCATCCCACAGATGGGGCTTTGTTTGTGCGGCCCGGTTCCTGGCATGCCACAGACCAGGGTTGGGGACCCTGATGTAGGAGATGGGCAGGCAGAGCCCGAGGTTGGGGTCAAACGCATCATCAGTTTGGAATCGCCATGCTCCCACAAGAGACCTGAGTCCAGCTGCCTCCCCCCCCCATTAATTCCATTGACTCTTATCTCCCACCAATTTCTCTTGACTTTTAGTAGTTCAGATTCTTGTCTATAGGTAACATGAAATAATCTCGTGGTACTTTTGAACTCTTATCTCGTTGCTTTGTTCCCTGCGCCTGACGCCTTTTGGGTAACAAAAACAAATGTGCCGGTTCCCCAAAAAAAGGAATTTCCAAGAAAGAAACTGACCCCAGTCTTTTTATATTTGAAACCATGCTTACTGAAGATTTTCATTGAGGATTTTTACATAGATCAGAGATAAACATGAAAATGTACAATGAAAATTTAAAAAGAAAAAAAAGTGTGCAGAAAGCAATCTAATAAGAGGAAGAAAAAATTCTTCCAATCTTCTTTGCAGCAGTTACAAATGATCTTTCCTCTCTCCCTCTCAGATTGCATGACAAGAGATTTCTTCTACCCCACATTCAACCTTTTGTTTCGATTAGCAAATCCAGAAACCATTTCAATTTTTTGTATTTTCAGCAAAAAGGTCCATAAAGGTCCATTAGCCATTTCTGGTAATGTTGCCATTTTTATAATCCACTGCCATATGTACTATCCATTGTCCTCCATTGTCGGTATTTAAGTATATCTCTCATTGTTATGCCTATAATAATGCTGGAATTATCCTATATAAAATCAGCCATCCATAAGTCTTTTCCAATTGGCTACTTGTATGCCCCAATAAAAACAGTTATGGTTTTACCCTAATATTAAACTTTAAAGAAATCATGCATATTTCCAACCATTGGGCTTTCCAAAAGGAATTGTCGAGTGGAAATAATGTAAAGATCATGGAACTGGCATTTTCATCGAGAAAGTGTTTTGCTTGCCTCAGCATATAGTCATAGCTGCCCTGCTTCCAATTCCCAGCAAAAACCCACCCCAAAGCAAACAATAGGTTTGCTTAATGATCACGGCATTCATTTAACAACCGCTCCAAAAGTGGTCATCACGTAGTGACCTGCTTTACAATTGTCATGACTTTTGACCATAAATTGCCAGGCTCCGTTACTATTGTAATTCAAAGATCACCTGTAATAAAACCCTGAGATTCATCAATTGCTTAAATCCCCATCCCTGACCCAAATTCAAAAGATGAGAATGATGAAGTGTGTTTGTGTCTTTGTGATACTTGCCTACGTTGGGCTACTCATTTTTAATGCTATTGTCCAGTAAACCAGTTTTGCTCATGCAAGTCC